TCTCAACGCAAGTGACGAAATCGCCATAAAAATCCCGGCTGCTGTCGAGCTTAAACACTCTAGTCACTCCCAAGTAGACCTTCAGGTAAGCTTTCTTGTAGCCCTCCAGAATGGAGTAAAACTCGGTCCTGTTCGGTTTATAGGGGACATTTTGCACCTGCGCCAGTTCCTCGTGTTGGTTCATGTTAATTAACAGGTCTAACATTGGTGACACCTGTAAACTCTTGTACGAGCCTTTTTGCAAGAGAGCCACTTTGCTTACAGAAAGAAGTCTTCACAAGGCGGCCAGTGTTCACAGGAACCACTCAGTGCCCCTCCCTGCTCCGAATCTCTACTGCTGCGTCCACAAAAACATTTGTATTCTTATTTGCCAGAGTACTACTTCCTTGACATTACTTGTGCAGCTGTGGGACATGACAGCTACCTTTTAGGTGCATGTAAACAAGCCTGGGCTAACCGCTCGGAAAAGGTATCAGATATGAGAGCTGTCCAATCAACAGCACCAGATCACGTTTTGCCCGTTGGAGGAGGGGGAGTTTTGCTGACCCCCCCCCTCCTATCAAGTTTTTCGCCTCCAGTATGGCTAACCCTCCCCATCCCACCTACCAGCTCCATAAATTTCCATGAGTTATCACCACCCGAAAAAGCAAGAAAAGTCAACGAAAACATTATGAAAGGCAAAATCTATCCCACCCCCGCTTCCACTAACCAAATGTGATCCCCTCCCTGGCTCCAACCAGATTCGTTTGTATCACATATCTGCGCCCGCACAGTGTTCCTCGCGGGTGAGGGATGGGAGAGTTAAGAACTGGATCTTGAGCAGAATTACCTGGGGTAGGCTCAAAGACCATATATAGCGCTCGTTGTTAGCGAGGTGTGCTGTTCGCGACCAGAGGGGGGGAAGGGGTATTTTTCACTTTTGCTGCTTCTCACCCACCTGTCAACTCTTGTATACAGTACCTGTCAAATCTCGTCAAGTAATTAACGACGAGCTTGCTCCAGCCTCACAAGGTTCACATGTTCACAAGTGAGACTTGCTAAACCTGAACTGGTAAAGCAGCGAATGCTACGAAAATCTCCCCCCCCCCCCCCCCCCTCCTCCCCCCTTGCTTTTCCTCGCAGATGTGCCCTAGCTAGCTAGCTTCATAAAGTAACGACTGAAGTCAGACTTTTCAAAAATCGCCTGTACACACAATTTATACAGTTCGCTCGACGACAATGGCAGTGATATCGGACAAAAACCGATGTGACGATAGGAATATCCCAAGTAATATACTTGAAATAAAATAAAAACAAAAAAGGAAAACACAACAGATTAAAGCGTTCACAATATATGATTCGCATGTGGAATTATGTGTGGTTATACATGTGAGAGAATAGAAGATATCCATAAATAGTTCCTGAAATCTTGAGACTCATTCAGCAACACGGCGGTGCCGGAAAGGGAGACTTTCTAGAGGAGAATGGGGGGCCTTTGGAATGTCAATAATTGATTGGTCATAATTAAACAAGCTCAAATACTAATGACCATGTGTAAGGACACTGAGAAGGACAAGTGGATGCTCGAGACACCTACACATGCACCTTTTGGTTTACTCTAAACATAACTAGTAGACAAACTGGCTGCGAAAATCTATTCGGCCGTGACAAGCTCACGACAGATGGCATGCTCCATCATCTCGGCAAATGATTTCTTTGGTGAACCCGCGTTGGTATAGCCGCCACCAGTAGAGTCGTTAGAAGTCTTTGGTGACGGTGTGGGTTCAGACGATTCCGCTGCATAACCGGTCATGCTGGAGAATGCCATCAATGCATCCATACCGTCCATCATCTCAGAATCCGATGGCTTACGCTGAAAAACTGGAGAGTCAGATTAGGATCGCTCAATCCTTCACAGTTTTTGCCATAGTATAGTGCACTAGCACTTTTGACTCGGCTCCCCGTTAGGTCTTGACGATAACCCCCTTCTTATCACCACCGAGGGGGCAATGGTTGTAGGCATGGCGAAACATTTTGCAACTGTGCGACTGCGTCTGAAGGGAAAACCCACATCACGAAGGCAAATTTACTAAATAATATTTGCGCAGGCCCAGTTCGGCAACGGGAGGGGGGCATTTTGCACTTCCGGTTTACAGGTCTCACTTTGGCGAAACCTGTGAACTCTTGTGAAGCTGGAGCAAGCTCGTCGAGCCACCATGATAAAACCTGTCAACTCTTGTAAGCTCATGAAATAGCTCTCTAGATGGCTCGACACGTCGATGGGAAGTAGCAAAAGTGCAAAATGCCCCCCCCCCTCGTCGCCGAACTGCCCCTTGGCGCATAAGCGAGTTTAACCAACCTGATATTTGGGATGATGACGGAATGGCGAGTCGGGCCCAATCGAGTCGGGCAGATCCTCGTCGCGGATGATTCGCCTGAGGGCGATCGCTGGTTCCTCGATCAGATCTGCCAGTCGTTCCGGTGAAGCTCGTTTAGCCGCCGGTGGCGACGGACTGCTTGCGCTCAGCACTGAAGCTAAGAGGGGATATAGGCAAACCGAGCGATAGCAAGACTTTTAAAAAGCCTCAACGTTAGCGCGGAGAACGTCTCACCTTTAGCAGCGTCCTTCCGCAGCTTCTCGTCGAGGTCTTTTGTTGACGGCGGCTGGCGGAGTTTGATTGGAGCGTCGTCCTCCTCGTCAACGAGCATCCTCAACACACTTGACTGTTCCTCCTCCTGTGCTTTTCGTGACCGTTTACGCCTTCGTTCAGGTGTGACTGCAGGCTGAAAGGATATTCCCATGGGTAAAGCTATTCATTTAACAAAAAAGTAATGAGACTGTATATAGACTGTTTGTGTGCCCGGCAATGCGACGCGACACACAGTTACTGTGTCCTTTCTGTTTACATACCCCTGGACCAGAAACGACTGAGCGCTCTGGGCTGACTCATTTCCCACTTTGTACTTTCATATTGCGACAAAACACGGCCACGGCCTACCTTAGGTCGCTGGAGTGCAGCAGCGCTTGAGAATGCTCTCGGTCGTGAATCGAGCGCTGGGGGACCCATAGCTGTTGATGTGGTTTGACGTAAATTCTGAAAAATTGCCACATGAGAGGGGCGTCTCACAAATGAAGGAAGTTCCTTCAGAATCAACAACTCACATTGCTTGTCATCAATCCCAGGCTTTCAATTGTGGAATGAGGAGGAAGTGTGGATGTCATGGGAGTCATTGGCAGTAGGGGGAACATAGGAAATCCATGAAGTGGGAATATGCCCAGAGAAAGGGCAGCAAGCTGATCGCTTGGAATTGACGGAAACAACAACGACTGCTGCTGCTGCGACGTCGGAATATCCGCGCTCGAGTTACTCTTTGGCTAAAACGAATCGATTTAAATTCAGCTTTTCTAGGGGCTTATAAAAGTACTCACCATATTAGAGAATGATGACATTTTAGAGAAATCTGGCATGGTAGCAAGCAGTGCTTGTAAATCTAATGTGGGTGCTATGGTTGTGGCAGGTGTGCCTTCGTTATTCATCTCTGAAAATCTGGGAATTATTAGGGAAGGGTTAAGGAAAACCACCGAGAATGAGCGAATGTACGGTGCAGATAGATGACTGACTGAGCAGAGAGAGCGAGAAGTGAATGTGCGAGTACATGCGAAAAATGCTGGGCAATGGACATACGTTTCCCCCGATGTGGTGGGCGTGGCTGTAGAGAAGTACAGCAGCGCCGACATAGCGGAAAGTGCGGAAAACAGTGACCTTTTAGGACATTGACAGACGATTGAAGTGCACCCAGTTAACGACGAACACAACGAAATGAAGTGTGTGTGTGTTTCGAAGCTGCTAAGATTTTGACTTGACGGGGGCAGATTGCGACAGATTCCCCGGAGACGAGATGCAGCAGGAGCCAGTTCAGCTTCATTGTGGTGGTTATAAGTGATGGCAAAAACATCGCGCAGGCAAAAGAACACTAGACGGTTGATGGGCAGCTGAGGGCTAGGAGGAGGCTGTCGTGGGATCAGGCGCCACACACACACACGTTCAATCCCTCACGGAAAATGCAACTAATGGAGAGCGACTGTGAAAAACATGACGTTATGAGTAATACGCAAGCACCGCCCACATGGGAGAGAAGACACATGTGATCGATGTTTTTCCCTTTTGGAGTCCAGCAGCAGTAGTGACGGTATGCAAAAATAAGAAGGTCGTATCAAGTAGTACAGTCTCCCTCTTCACAAAGTCCTCTCCAACTCGACTCTATCGTGTGGCTGGCTAACTGGCTGGCTGACAATAACAATGGTGTGGGACAAAAACATTCAGTTTCATCATGCAGGCCCGTCCGTGGATTGGCTGGCTGCTGCAAAGTGCGCTGCGCTCGGCCCGGCCCGACTAGAACGAACGTCAGTGCTAGAAAGAAATGCTACTATGGTCGGCTGCTATGGGCGTTCTGTCGTGGTTCTTATGGGGGTGTCCTTGTGTGGAATGAGTGACGGTAAAAAGAACACACGTAGGAATTCTAGACAATTCACGTATGCAACAGTTTCCAACCGATTAGCTCGAACCATCCTAAAAAGCTTAGTGCAACGAGAGGGACTGTGATGACGTCTGTGAAAAATGAGACACTGTTAGTCATGGCGCTTGAAGAGTGAGGGGGCAGAACGGGAGGGCTGAGACAAGGACATACCTCTAAAAAGTCCACCTTTATCCTGAACAGCCTCAATGAATACGATTTTTTAAAGTCTTTCAGAAAGAGGCGGAGCGTAGAGAGCTGGAGAACTCTTATGCCAGGCGTACTTTCGTAGGTGCAAGTACAAAGTGCATGGTAAAAGTTCTCGAGAAACTTTAAGGAATTAAAAGCCCATAGCTGGGGGCTGTTAAATGTGACAAGTGAGGAATGAAGAATGGACGAAGCAGAGGCAAAACAGAACGCCCCACGAAGTTGCCGATGGACTGGAGGGAGGTTTCCTGATGGGCGTGGACTTCGGTGACGGCCATGGCGTTGGCCACGCACGACAAAATCACATGGGCGCGTAAACATGCCCTTGCCCACAGTCCCACTCCTTTTCCCTTTCGGAACTGCGGCGTACGCGCGAGCCGCGGCGAGTGATCTCCGGTTTTAATGCAGAGCGAGCCGCAATAACAAACACACACACACACAACACTCATGCGTATGGGCTGGTAAGGGCATCTGACCGCCCCGGGCACATCGCATCCTGTTATTCGCCTAGCACTGCTGTAAGTACTTCGGCCACTTCTTCACTCATCTGATGGCCAGGGAGGATAGGGTGTTGTCGGGGTGACCACTGGCGAAACTTGAAAGGAAAGGGTGTAGAGAACGCGCTGAACCTCTTTTGAGGCCCTCTGTTAGAGCAATTTTGGGCGCAGTACGGCTTGGTAGTGGCATCGTTTGATTTGTTTTGGCTAAACTAAATAGTGCTCAGTGAACAAGGTACGTCGTACCTTGGGGAATCAATAATACTATTTTACTACTTTAAAAATCATGAGTAAATTTGTTTTTCGATAAAAGCATTACGCCATTATTTCATGTGATGTTAAATGTTATTTTCAGGTTTTATTTTTACAAAGTATTATTGAAAGAAAATAATTTATAAGTTTTTAGTACATTATATCTCCAGGAGGGGATCGTATCTGATCGTTGGGGGGGTCGTATTGAGTCTGAGAAAAATTTTTTGAAAGTTGATTTTTGTTGTTTCATGGACGCTATAAGGGAGAGGGTGGTATTTGCTTGTTGGAAGAAGGAGGCGGTCGTATTTCGCCCCGTATTTGCCCCCACCCTTCCGTAGTTGGTGGTGCCGCCTAAGTTCTACACAAGTACTATCACACAGGTGAAACTAGTAGTTGGTTACTGACGACCTCCCCTCCCCCTCCCTCCATCCTCGCGCCTCCCCCACAGCAAAATTTCGGGGAAAACTAGAAAATTTTGGAAATATTCGGGAAATTCCGGAAAAAAAAAGTTGGGGAAATTTAGGAAAGTGGAAGGCAGGAAGGGGAAGGGGATCTTATGAGATGAAGGACTTGGGGGGGGAGTCGCAATTTCTGGAAATTTCGCCTAGCGACAGGACGTGCCCTGAAAGTGAAACTAGTACAAGCCACCTTGTAAAGACTTGCAAATTCCTGTAACTAAAGTATCTCATTTACAGCATTTCATAACTTCACAGGAGTTTGCAGGTCCCACTGGCGTGATTCATCCTGCTGAGTAAAGTGAACTAACAAAAGTAAATAGCAAAAGTGCAAAATGCCACCCCCTCCAAGCCGATCAACGCCACATGTTTTATAAATGTTTTATAATAATTAGTCTCGGCTTTTGTACTTCAGGAAAATACTATCGTCGAAGAAAACACTACCCGACAGATCAACAAGTATTATTAAATCCACTATATCTACCTCTGCTACGCAAAACAACTTGACTTCATGGGCTGCCAGGCGCCGAAATCGAGCGCCCAAATCGAAGGAAAAGCTGACTGCAAAAGCAAGTGAGAGTGAAGTTAGGCTTGGGAAGGGCATTTTACTTTTTCGCTGCTTCCCATCGTCAAATCGAGCCATCAAGTGAAAACATGTAATGTTATGAACAGTCAAGAATTGTTGAGAATACTTTTCAAGTCTTGTAAAGAAATACCTGTCAAGTATTGTAAAGCGACGAATAAGACGATGAGAACAGCGAAAGTGCAAAATGCCCCCTCCAAATCGAACTGCACCCAGTTGAGATGGAGACGATGTTAATGAGGAAGAAGAGGTGGTAAGCCTGAGAAATGGCAGAGAAGGTTTCTACAGGGACAAACGATAGCACGACAGTGTTGCAGGCGAGGCAGTCAGCGAGAAATGACTGGAAGTCGCACGGCTGCCATCAAACCTGTTTATTTTCAAGTGCTGAAAAACAATCGAATAACGTCTCAAAGGGCTCGAAGAAGGACTTTGTGTCCACAAAGGCGGAGGTTAAAGGAGGGGGAGTGGGCACGACCGCAAAGTTGTGACTCACAGTAACAATGAGCAAGTCATCCCTACAGACGTCTATTTCGCAAAACGACGTTTTCACAAAGTACAGTAGACTGACTGGCTGTACAGCGTGCAAGATTTTTTCTGTCTGTCCACGTGAGTTGGCATCGGCACGTGTGTTGAACAACTGGCACCACTTGATAAAAGAGCCAAGGTTAAGGGCTGCCTTGCACTCCCAGACGCGTGCGGGAGAGATAAAAATGGAGTAGCAAAAGAAAGTAAACCGAGCCAAGGGGGGGCGGGTGAGAAGCACGTGGAACTCGCTGCCTACGATTGGCTTTATGTGAGCTCGAAAAAGCCTCATGTTGTGTGTTCAAAGAGAAAATAAGTAAGGATAAAATAATAAATAGCAGCCTTCTGAAGGGGGTAGTTAAATTGCTTATGTCTGTAGGAAGAGTATTTATAGCGAAAAGGGAATCTCGCGCTCAAAGATGTATCCCGTGACATCTACGTCCTGTGCACTGCAAGAAAAAGATGAATAGCCAAGACCGTTTTTGGCCCAAGCGAGACCACCAACCAGCAGCAGCCCTGTCAAAGACGCATGCACAGGGATGGCGTTTTTAACAGTTGTCCCTCAGTCCTTCGTATTCTCTCATCCTTTATCTCTGGTGCCTAGTACGCCCCCTCAGTGTCTCTTTGAGTCTCGCTTACAGCCTTCTGCTGTACTAATGCTAACAAACAACTGCGAAAAGGAGGCCCACATTTGATGATACCATTACCGGACCACGACTTTTCAAACCGATGCACGACTTCTAAAATCAAATCAATGATTTTCAATTCAAATTCAAGGCTTAGTTAACAATGCACACTAGACACCACTGCAAACTCCACTCCCTTCAGCCACGCCCACCACGAGAAGCCCCGCCCTCTTCGTAGAAGCCCCACGTCCGCGGAGTGCCTCAAATAAGCACGTTGGATTCTCAACTGGTATGTCAAAGCCTAGCTCGTCATTCGGAGCAAGTGATGAGAGGGAGAGAGGGTGGTTCCATCCACGAAAGCGTAAGAGAAGGGGAAGGTAAGAGAAGTACGAAGACAGAATTTTTGCGTAGTGATGCAAATTCTTTTACCTCTTGCCTTGTTCCCTAGTTCCAAAGCAGTTGCAGTGGTAGTACGGGGATTAATTTCACATACGCAATTATGCATTTCACGCTCCCAGGTCACTTAATTTCTACCTTTTCGTGAGATGGTGGGTTGCAAAACCGTTCATTTGAAATACCTACATTTAATTCCAATCTGATTCCAAAACCCACTACACTTACCAGGGAGGTCTTTCAGGTTTCTGGAGCCTATTTTAGAAACGGTTGTTGCATGTGAGGGCCACAAAAAAGTAGTTAATTTTCGCGCTCCTGGGGGGTCCACGAAGGGACAAAAAACACATTCAAAGATCAAAAACCTGCTGAATAAATGCTCGACACCATGTGGCCTCACATGATTTCATGCGGTCCAGTACTGGTTGTTGTCTTTAGTTTTCGCTCCTAATCTTTCTTCGGACCAGTTGGTGTTTGATGTTGAATCTGAT